GTCTTTGTACCTCGCATATACATGTGGCAATGCGTTGCCTTCTTTTTTGCCTCGTACTGACAATCAGTCCGAGCGAGCTGTCAGCAGCACCGATAAGCCAACAAACACACGTCACGATAAATTCGTGCGATGTCCCGTCGGCGGGACTGACTTCCGACAGGAGCCCCGGTCGCTGGACAGAGCCCGGTCACCGGACAAAGCCCGGGCGCCGGACAGAGCCCGTGCGCCGGACGAAGCCCGGTCGCCGGACAGAGCCCGGGCGCCGGACAGAGCCCGGGCGCCGGACAGAGCCCCGGTCGCCGGACGGAGCCCGGGCGCCGGACAGAGCCCGGGCGCCGGACAGAGCCCCGGGCGCCGGACAGAGCCCCGGTCGCCGGACGGAGCCCGGTCGCCGGACTGAGTCCGGTCACCGGACGGATGATCCACGCCACACGAAGAGCGCTGCAGCGGCAGGCCGACCAGATGTCCCAACCAGCCAGTGTTCGCGGCCGGCCAGGCTGACCGCAAGGTCCATACGTATCCGCTATGCCGGCGACAAGCCGCCGCTCGGCCCCGCGGTCGGGTAACACCAGGTCAATACGCCTCGGCGGTCCAGCGCCGGCCGCGGCGGGCCACTGATAGTGACGCGACACCAACACTCTGATGGATGGACGAACGCCACCGATAGCGTGCCAGCCCGCCGCGACCGTCGCCCCAAGGCGGTGGCCGGGGCCGCACGGCCGCCAGCTGGCAGGACAACGCCACCGCCAGGGCCCGCCATCTCATGAGTCTTATGAGGTGGTGTCAATCCCGCGCGGAAGGCGCTGCCACGCGTCATCCACTGGTGACTTTTGGGAGGGGGGCGAGGGGAGGGAGGACGGGAACAGTCGACGACGGTGGAGCGGGTCGGAGAAGCGGAGGCTGCAGTCGACCGGGGACGGTGCCCGCTGGTCGGTCGCCGCACCCGACCCGCGGTGGACGTCCGTCCGCCGTGCACACGTGATTGGATCATTGTCCGGCGGCGGAGGTCGGCCGCCCTGTGATGGATACGGCCCGCCTGCCGGAAAGACACCTGTATGGGGTGGTGGCCGCCACCCCACCGGCCCTGATTGGGCCCAGGACCGGCAGACGCCGCAGGCGCCGTGCAACCGAGCGGCGGCGGCGGCGGCGGCGGAGGCGGCGCGAGCGTGCGGGCGTCCACCCCGTGCCGCGGTCCGTGCCACACCAATACCTGCAGCGCTCAGCCGGCTACGAGGACCACTCCGGGAGAGACAGGCCCAGCAGATCGGCGTGACCGCTCATGCGACCCGATAATCAATAGCGGTCGTTCGAGACACGCGACTGACAACTGATGCCGCGTTTGTCTCCCGGTCAGCGGTGAGTTAGTGCTGATGTCTGAATTCGGACCCTAATGCGGCTGACACCACACCGACGTGGGTGGTCCGACCATTCATTATGAAGATCACGCGAAAGGGCAGGCGACACCATGATCGTCAAGCCCGGCAATGTGAGCCGACTTCGGCCGACTCATCTAGAGGCACCGGCCACGCTCGTAATGCATACTGAGTAAGCCGGTAATAATAGAGGTCAGCTGAAGGACAGGGACCAATTTCACGTAATTTGCATAATTTTGCTAACCTCTTCACAGTATAAGTTCGTCATCACTTGCATCATCGCCGACAGCCAATGCGCCCCGAACGTTCGACGGCAGCTGCGCCTTCGGCAGGAGTTAATTCGCCTCTCGGCCGCAAAACCGATAGGCTAATCTCACCGCAATCACGCGGATACCGGCTTACCTCATCCAACCGGCACGCTGACGCAACGAACGGCCGACGGTCGACCAGCTCGACTGTTTGCTTAAAACGGTCCGACACATCACCGCTGCGTTAGAGGCCACGGCGCCAACCCGACCACAGCACCGGCCCCAGGCAACGCCCGACTCCGGCCACGGCTGGCCGGAGCCAATTTGGCCGAGAACTGCTCTCAGGACAGCAGGCACGGCGGTAAACAAGGCGGCTCTATCTCGGCGCCACCGGGGCCAGCTCAGGTCGCGGCCCGCCTCTCCGCCGACAACAAATGTCCCAGTTAAGATCTCTATAGGCCATAGTCCGCTCAAACTGCACCGCCGGGGCCATTAGACGAGAATATACGGTGGAAATATGGAGTGGCGCGCGCGCGCGTGCCGCGCCGCCGTAGCCGGACCGCGACGGCTACACGGCTCGGCAATCGCGCCGATTTCCGCCGACGGCGCGCTCGCCGTCCGCCGTGCCGCCCGATGAGTGACAGGCGGCCGGGTGGCGGCGCGCCCGACCGCCGCTCCACTCAAGCCGTGCCGACGGGCGCCGCCGCCGGACCTGCGCGCCGATCCGACCCTGGTGCGTTTGTCACGCTTGCGGAGCGGGGCCGCTGCCGGGCTCGGGCACGCCCTCGCCACGCAGCGTCCCCGGAACACAGGGCAGGACACCGGACAGAGGCGGTGCGAATCGAGTCGTGCGCGCCGCCTTGCGGCGTGCTCAGCGCACTGGGCGACGCACCTCGGCTTGAGCGGGAGGTCAAGGGCCAAGTGACGGCAGACAGACGGCGGGCCGGCCGGCCGCCGTCTGCGCGTGCTCCGACCGCGTCAGCTGAGCGGCGAGCCGTGAGGGCGCCACCCTCGGTCCGGTCCGCTCGCCCGCCGTCTCTGCGCGCCGGCCGCCGCCGATCCGGCTCGCTTTCGTCGCCTTCGTTTTTGTGACGGGGCTATCAGCGACGTGCATGCGCCAGGCAGGCCGGCACCGCGCGCCCGATTGCCCTCGATTGTCGGCCGCACGAACGCCCGGTCCGTACAAAACCCGCGGCCTGCCTTTCGCCGGCGGCGGCGCGGCGCGTGCATCAGCAGCGTCGACGCCGTGCCGTATCGCCGACATCGACGCCGCCGTCCGTCGGACAGCGTCCGCCGGCGCGGCCAGCTCGTGCGCGCCCCTTCCGCCGGCCGCCCCTGTCCGACCCCAGCCCGTAATCAGCCGACCCTCTCACCCGACCAAGGTACGCACGCGCCGCTGACAAAGAGGTGGGCGCGCGGAAAAAATTCGCCGCCCGCCGGCGAGCGCAGCCGGACCGCTTCCAGGCGGCTGGGCGCGCTGAATAGGTCTTAAATTCGGCTTAAATCGTCGTAAATTCGAGCCGAGAGGTGCGCCGGAGCGTGTACGCATGGAAATCTGGGCGGGGCGCGGGCCCGGACGGGGTAGGCGGGCCCCGGCGCTCTCCGGTCGATATTCACCCTCGTCGTACGGCGCCCGGCCCCGTCCGTCCGATGGGGCCATGCGCTCGCGCTCGCTTTTCATTACGACCCCGGGGTCTATCATTATTGGATCGCACCGGCCGGACGCGCCGCGTGGTGACACGCTGTCGGTCGGGGCGCGAAACGAATCACGAATCAGGATAAGACACGAGCGAACTGAGCGACCGTCATAACCCGGCAGATGGTAGCACCCATCTCACGTCCCGCCCTCCATTCACAGCCCACCTACGCGCCGCTGGAACCAGTTTGCGTTTGCGCAAAGCGGCGCACGGTTGCCTGGAAATGACTTACAAACGCAAGCGGCAGCCCACAAACGGACGGTATCCTAAAAACATCCGCACTCCGTCGTCATTTTCCATCATAACTTAACCCCACAAGTATTATGTGAAGTGATCGATGAGGGTGAACTGCAACATCGTCAAAGGGCAAGTGTTCCGCACCACTAGTCCGCGGGGCACATTTTCCAGATGGCGCTCGCTATGGACGGAGTTCAACTCGCAATGAAGCAAGTCAAGCCCCGCGCATATCACATTGATACTTATGGTTTGGCATGGCGGAACGCACACCTCCACCGATAAATCAGTGGAGGATCCCTTCGTTCCCAGAAACCATGCAGTACACTCAGCTCGCCGCACGAACCCCTGTCCGCCGGGAGTAGGGATGCGCCCCCGGTGGTGCCGGCTGGCCCGGCGGGAGGCGTCCCGGGCCACAGATTCAATAGCTCAGCCACGCCGCCGCCGTGCCAGGGGACAGCGGCCGCGCCCGTCGCATAACGCGTCACGGGGGACGACACCGCATGCGCCACGCGCCGCGCCGTGCGCGCCCGCGGCGAATGCATTTTTCATCCAGCCTCCCGGCTCACTTTACACATAAAACGTGCTCTCAATATGAAAACAAGCGGGGGAGACGGCCGCATTAGCCCCAGGCCGACACGTAACGGCTTTGCGAGGGGTGGGCCACTTTCAGTGGGCGTGAGCGGTATGGTGAGCGCTCAGAGGCGCCGGAATCCGACCGCGAACACGCCGCCCCCCCCCCCCCCCTCCCCCCCCCCCGACACGACACGACATCGCCGACTCCCGGCCGGCGATGACCGCCCGTCGCGGCGCCGGCAGGGGGCGACACGAGCACGGCCGAATACCACCGAGCCGCCGTTCACGTGTGAATGAGCCCGCGGTGCTGCCTCGCCGGCAGCGTGATTTCGCCGCTCGCCGGTTTTTTTTTTCGCCACCGCTGGTTTCCCTGGCAGGCGCCACATAAGTGGCGCGGCGGCGGCCAGTATCCCGCGCGACCGGATGATTCAATGTCGGCTCCCAGGGCGCCGGACGCGAGTGCCCACCGCGCCGCTGCCGAGGCGGAGCGCACCGTCTGCGACCGGTTCAGCCGCGGGATTCATCTTGAGACGGTTCAGCCCCGATCTACATCCGACCTTTGTCCGTCGACTGACGCGTATGACTGTGCGTCTCTCCCGCATCCCAGGCTCTTTACACACTTTTTTGATACGTGTAGCTGAGCGTGTCACTTGGCATTGTCAACACGCGCAACGCTAGGACTGTCGCGTTCTAATCCATCGATCATGTATTTCGAGGACGCGTGCGTGACGCGGTTTTGTCAGTTAGCTTATCATTTCTGAGGGCGCCAGCGTTTGTCGCCGAGGCTCGCGCGTCCCTGATCACGGCGGTACCAGAGAGCACCACGTCTCCTCCGCCCGGGGACGCGCCACCGAGGCTCCAGTGAGACCCACCTTCTTGATGTGGCCAGTGGCGGTGCCGGCGAACACGACGGTAAAGTCGCCGGTGGAGGTGGCCGCCACGGACGTCAGCAGCGTGTCCACGGTGAGGACGGCCACGGCCGTCACGGCCATGGAGCCGCCGATCGGCGTGTTGACGTCCATGCCGCAGAAGTCCTCACCCACCGTCTCCAGCAGCTCGAATTTCTGCAACAGCAGGCACAGCGGCCGCATCAGCAGGGGCGCTGTGTGGATGACAGGGCATACATCAGGCGACACGACATGAACGCGCACACGAACATGGCGAAACCTCGCAGCGAATTATACAACGGCAGACATCAGTTATTAGGACTGCATCCAGTACTACTTGGTGCATAACAACTTCCCAGAAATGTTTTGGGGTGTATCTCTACTAGGGTCATTATATCCCTAATAAGGTCATATCGCCACATCCTGGTAGACACCGTAGCCATTGAAGATCGTGACAAAGAAATGACCAGAGCTTCACAATACAGGCAGTCCCCCCCCCCCTCACACGTACAGACCAGCAGACCGGAAGGATGCATAAGATCAGCGCAGCACCATACCTCTAAACCCACGCCCAGCTTCAGCCCGGCTGCGCACCACGGCCCCGGCGGCGGCGGCCGGGGCTGCGGCGGCGGCCGTGACTCATCGGAGCCCCACGCGGCGGCGCCCATCCGCCCGGCGCGAGCGGGCCGCTCACGCGCGCCGACACCCCACGCTGAGAGCGCGTGAGCGCCGCGCCCCGCCCGCCCGCAGACGCGGACGCGGCCGGCCGCCCGCCCCGTGGGACGGAGTCGACACCGGGAAGAAGGGGCGTGTCCCCCACCCGATGCCCGAGCCCGGCCACATGGCCCCGACAGCTGGCCCCGTCCTGCCGGCTGAGGACGGCGGGCCGACCGCGCCGCGTGTTTACACTCATAATCGCCAGGATGGCGGCGGCGGCCGGGGTCAGGGGTCAGAGGTCACCGGACGTCGGCCGGCCGCCGTGGGCCATCGCGGGCCGTCGACGGATATCCCGACGAGCCGACGGCAGCGGCAGCGGCAGCGGCAGCGGCAGCGCGAGGTCGAAGGTGAGGCCGAGCGCGACGACCGATGGTGACGATGGCGGACGTGACGACCGATGGTGACGACGGCCGTCACGAGACCGCAAATCAGCGGCAACTCGGCGCTCCGACCGACGTAAGTGATGTGGGTGGACCCGACGCCACGCCCAAGGCGACGCCGAGCGAGCCAAATCACATCAGCAAGTCCCAGACGATCCAATCAGCGGGCAATGACCATAAAAACAGCGGCGACGAGCCAGGCTCAGATGGAAACAAACTTGCTATGCACAACGTGAAGTCATTTCGGCGAAGCGTAGAACAAATTATGACTTACAGCAAACCAATAAAACCTTCCGCTGGCACGCCGTACAGTGCAAAGAATGCGTGCACGGATCTGACACGTAGGAAAGGCCGGGCGCCATCTTTGAAGCTGCCGTTCCCACCAACGTGAAACCCTCTCCGCCAGCAATATCGGCGAACCAAGTACGCGTGCAGGGCACGGTAATTCACCACAGAGCACTTTCACACGCGCAGCCAGACCGGTGAATGGGAGTGACACGAGCAGCGGCGTGCCGGAAACATTACCGGGCGGGCCGAGCTCCGGCCGAGTTGCGGCAGCTGGGCGCGCGGCGCCGCTTCGCAATCTGAGCTCATTAGCTGGGCCCGGCCGCCATGGCGGCGGCGGCAGGCGCCTCGACAGCCGACGGCCGCTGTTCCGGCCGGGCCATTACGCCAGTGCCACAGGCGACGTCCAGTCGCCAAACGCTCACCGCCAGACGGCAGTACAGCTGTCGCTTTGATGAACGCTACGAAAAACAATGGACGCATACTCTTCAGAGGCTTTTCTCGTTCGCTTTCGTTGTTTGCTTTGTTTGTTTTTTGACCCTTAAAATGCTTTAATTTAGTATGGAAGCCAAATTGCTGGGTTATACCGTTCCCCGCCATTTACATCTGAACGCGGCACTGGTGTGGGGACATTTGTTCCCGGGGATAAGAAGGGGTAACTTTCCCACTCCAGCCGAGGGCAAATATTTTCTACGCCATTCAGGACGGGGGGCCCGGGGCGCCCTGACAAATGAGCGAAGTATTGTCATTGTAATACAACCATGCGGGCAGGGCTGGCTAAACAGAGGGGCACCCGTCCCTCTCCCATGAGGTCACCCTCTCCCTGCGCGAAAACAGCAACTCTCACGCCCATATCGTAACACATCCGGTGCAAGCGAGGACGGTCACCCACTGCGCTGACGGCGCGGCCACGCTGTCACGGCAGCCTCACCGTGCCGTCAGCCACCAGCAGAACGCCAGCAGCCGGCACGAACCCACGGCAGCTCACGTGTCATTCGACGCCTCGCTCTTCCCTAATTCGGTCCTGGGTGCCGGTGCCGCCGACCTGATCCGGGGTGCAGGGGGGGCGCGAGCGGCCGGTGCGACGCGGAGCTCGTGACGGGTGCCGGCGCGCCACCGGCACCCGGCTCTGTTTACACAGAACGCGCGCCGGCGTGTTGCGTCCGGCGGCGGACTCGGCGCTATTTTTAATTCCGGGCAGACGTGACCCGAGCCGGCCGCCGCCCACTGTCGGAAGCGCCCGAAAAACAGCGCCGGCGCCAGCGTCGGCCGGCCAGTTCGGGTGCGCGCGCCGCACGGACGACCCAACCCGCTCACACGCTGACGCAGCGGCGCACCGGAACGTCTTACGCCGCATATTTCACTCGATAACCGCAAACACAGTTATCAGTGTTTATGGCTATCCCGCGCCATGGTCGTATCCAGCCACTTCTCCACCCCGCCTCTGCCGAAAACGGGACACGGTCGGTGCCCGCATGAAAACAGCGCCAGCCGCCCCTGCTGTTGTTGCCTGTGACCTGATTGTGAACTGATTGTCGGGTTGCGCTGATCAGCCCGTGATCGCGGGAACGCGGGCGCAGGTTGCGCACCACGCATTGGGGGCGCGCTTGGCGCCGCTGGCGGCCGTCGGCGCCGCTCGAGACGAGGGAGTGGCGAAACGCCGCCGCTCCCAGCGCCGACACAGATGAATCGGCCGGCCAATTCTTCATCAACGGTTCAATTCGGGATGATTAACGAGCGGTGTCGGGCGCGCATCTCCGCCGGCCGACCCACGAGGTGCGCCTGGCCGAGGCAATCAACGTGCCGACGCGTCCAACTCGGGCGCCGCACTCGGGCGTCGCACTTCGGGGCGCCCGAGTCTTGTTTACTCGCCGTAGCCACACCGAGTCAATAGCTCGTCGCGCGTCGGCGTCCGCCAATCTTAAGCCGCTCATCCATCGCACCCCCGCCTATGGAAGTATGACGGCGCCGCGAGTCAATACCGCGAGTCAGAGTCAATAGCGGGCACGGCAGTCGTCGATCGCAGCCGCTATCAGTATGGGCCGCGCGTCGAGCCGCCGCCACCGCTGGACTCCCGATGCACGCGCCGGAGATCGCCGCTTAGGAGATTTGAGTGGGCGCGGGAGCCGTCGGCTTACGGAGTACTTTCGGAGCAAACAGCACCTACTGTCAGCATGGGTCGGGGCTCCCAGGCGCGGCCATGTTCCAATCAAGCGGGCTGAAAGCGGCCGCCGCTCGACAAAGGCCGTGAAAACGGCAGCAGGGCCGCCGGCTGTTGACACTGCCGGACGGACCCGGGACGACACCGGTTGTGTCAAACCCTTCATTTCCGGTCTGCGGAAATAGACGTCCGTTGCACGGCGGGTGCCGCCGATAACCGGACTGAGTCGGTGCCGATCGGAGACGCGACGACGACGCTGTCCATAGATGGCGTCACCGTCAGCGCGCCACGTTCGGCAGGGCGGCACGGTCTGTAATAAGTGCTGCCGCGGCCGTTGCGAAGGCTTTGTGGGTGTTTGGCCCGTCGACATTGTGGTCGCAATGAGGGGGAGCAATGTCGGCCCCACCTGTCCGTCGTGTCCAGACGACCGGTCGCGGTGCGTCGCAGGCGACAGTCACGGCAGCACGTCTGCGGCGTGTCCGCGGCGTGTCCGCGGCGTGTCCGCGGCCGTGTCCGCGGCCGTGTCCGCAGCCGGCCGGTTGTCACTCCCAGACGGCGCTGACCGGGCGATAACTGGCGTGAAATCGCCGTCCGGCGCCACGGCCCCAACAGCTGACGAGCCGGCGCCTAGAGAACGGACGGAGCGTAGGACGCCGCAGCCTTCCGGCCGCGGCCACCACTTCCGCCCGTGTCACCGCAGCCACCGCGCGCGCACACGCCCAGCCGCCGACACAAAGGCATGTGGTCAGCGGACAGCGCGCGCCGCCGACAAAATACGGCCGGGCGAGACGGCCGGTGACATGCGGCGGCCGGCGTGCCGCGCGCGCCATCCTCCCCCGGCGAGATGGCGGGCCGCGGCGGCGGCTCCCCGCGCCGGTCGCCGCAATCAGCCACGTACCCGGAATCAATCTTTCATCGGGATTGGTCGAAATTAGCCGGCGCGAGCGTCGCGCCGGTGGGCACGCGGGGGGAGCGGAGTGGCGGCCAACAAGAGGAAGGCAGGGCCCGAGAAGTAGCTTACCGCGGGATCAGTGTTTGGGATGCACCGGCGTCAAGGTCAAACGCCGACGACAACCAAACGTTCGCGGCCACCTACACTACAAACAGTGGCCGCAAAACAGCGGTCAAATCAGCATCGCATCTCATCCAGCGCCGTAGCGGTGAGGCGTTACAACCGGGCCTGCGCGGTCGCGGAGCGGCCGGCAAAAAACGCGCGTGACGGGCGGCGAAGGCCCGGCGCGCGGCCGCCGCACAAAAACCCGCCGCCGTGCCCGGCTGGACGGCGGCCCGGGACGGCCCACGCAGACCCAGCGCGGGCCCCGAGCGGGCCGCGCAAACGCGCGGTCGGGAGGGCGCGGCTTCGCAGCCTCCGCCCCCGCAGTCCCCCGCCACTTGGTCGTCAGGCAGCCGAGGCGGAGGTAATGTGCCGCGGTGCGCGTCCGGACGCGGCGGCGCTCTCGGCGGTGAAGGGGAAGGGGAGGCGGTGGCGGCGGCAGCAGTGGCCCGGGCACGCAGCCGATCTGAGCCGCTGCCAGCGCTCTGCTGCGGCCCACCACTGAGCCCGCGTTCCAGCGACCCCTGGTCGACGGGGTGCGGCGGCCGCTCGACGGCTCGGCTATCGTCCCTGGTGGTGG